AAATACATGGGTCTTAAATTAATATCCTCAGCCCAGTCCGCTCTTCCAAACTCCAGATTCGTTCATCCAACTCCCTGCTTGATGCCTCAAACCGGACATGCTTTAAACCCAGTTCCTGGTCTTTCCCCCAAACCTGGCTCCAACCATGGTCTTCCTCATCTCAGATAGAGCAGTTCATCCTCTCAGTTTCTCAATCCAAATGCCTCAAGTCATCTTGCCCTTACAAGACAATCCCCTTGGGCAATGACCTCTCAGTCCAGTGAACACCTTTGTGCTTCACAAAGGGCGTTGACTGCTGACCTTTTATGATTAGTTGTGAGTAAGTTTTATTCTACTTTGGTAGGTTCCCTGAAAGCATGAAGTGCCTCCATTCATTTTCATATTCTTCAGGCCCTACCACAATGCTCTGTACATTCCAAACAATAAATAAAATCATCAATACAATTCATAGAGTAAAAAACCAAAACCACAAAGAATATGAAAAAAGTATAGGAAATACTGTATTGATCTTAGAGATCAGTTATATTAAGAGAATACCAATTTGCATAAAAGCAAAAAGAAGCTAAACATCCATATTTCAAAACAAAATAACATTGTAAGGAGATAAAAAAGGTAAACAAACTAGAAAACACACAACAAATCACATCAATATTTAACAGAGAATCCCTACATGTAAATAAAACTGGTAAAATAAAACTTTTAAAAAGTAATATAAATAATAAAAATAGCTTAAAAATAGACTTTTTAAAGAACCACTAAATGACTAAGTTAGGTTAAAAAGTATCACGATTTCTAAATATTATGTGAGAAAGAATACCATAAATACAGAAGTAAAAAGACTTAACAGCTTCATATCTTGGTGTATTTCTGGGAGTGACATTATGGTAGGGGGATATGAAAGCCAATTATTACATTCCTACTGGTTTTCTGATGTAACTAAAAATGAACTTTACTGCAGTCAAACTTACTTTTACAGAACAGAGGTCAAACCAATGATGACCTACCCATAAGCTTTATGAGCCTTCCTTCCCTGGGAAGATCCTTGTGTAACACTATATGAAAGTATGAGCTACGTATGTTCAGTGACGTCTATACTAAGTATGCTTGAAAGCCAGAAATGACTATCATCGTTCCAAGGTGGATAATGGGGATGGTAAGCTTAATCAGATAAATTACTAGTTCTGCTGCCAGATTTTAAAGGTCCAGAGTTGAACTTCATGTAGAAAACAACTTCCCATGAAATAGTCTATAAGTATCCTCCTTCTGAGAGACAAGGTAACTCCCAAAGGAAGCATAGAGATGGGTAGGGCTGCTAGGGCTTTTATGCTCCACATGCAGACAGTGGCCCATGTGAAAACTGGCAGAAAAGTCCTGCTTAAAAGGAGAAATTCAAGATTTCTCCAGCTTCAACACTGCTGGTGGCATTACAAATTGGTATGTTACTTGGCAACGTATATCAAGAGCCACATAAACTCTCAAACCCTTTGGCAGAGTAATTCCACTTCTAGGAATCCATCCATCATGAGGAACCACTGCTATTACCAAATTATACTTCAATCATGTGATGGAATATTACCCAGCTTTTTAAAAAGAGAGATAGGCAGAAATAAAATAAAAAATTGTGCTTATGTTAGAAGGCAAGCTGAAAAATTTATAAACTATATTAGAACTATATTAGGAAAACGAACAAAAATATACATTATTAAAAAGACACTGAGCTGCATATAACAAAATGCTGACTTAGTACCCATGAAGATGTCAGCTGTTGCAAGAAGTGTATACAATCATGTGCAGTACACGTGCATCTTCTCAAACAACAAACACTTAAAACACAATTACTATAATATGAGACCACACACAATTACTATAATATGAGACCACACTTTCTTTTAATATCAAAAAAATGAGAACCATGTTCTAAGACTGAGAACAGGACAAGGAAGTCCACTCTCACCACTCCTATTCAACAGAGTCCTAAAGGTCCCAGCCATTGCAATGGGCAAGAAAAGGAAAAAGCATTAAGATTAAAAAAGAGGAAGTAAAGCTTCCATCTATTTGCTAGTAACATAATTGTTTGTGTAGGAAAACTTAAAGAACCTACAAACACCTACTAGAACTGGTATGTGAACTTATTAGCAAGGCTGCAGGATACATAGTTGCTATGAAAAATTAATTGTATTTTTACATATTAGCAAAAATTAGCAACAAATTCAAAAAATTCCATTTATAAGTTGGAAAACATAAAATACATGCAAGATAAGACCTGTACAGTGGAAATTTTAAAACACTGCTGCGAGAAATGAAAGACCAAAATAAGTGAAAAGATGTGATAAATTCATGGTGAAAAGACTCAGTATGATGAAGACATCAACTATTCCTAAATTCACCTACAGACTCCATGTAATCCCAATCATAACTCAATCATTTCTAATGAAACTTGATAAGCTCACTATAAAATGTACAGAAAAATACAAATCATCTATGATATTCAGAGTAGTATTAAAAAAAAATTAGATAGAGGACTAACACTCTCGGACTTCAAAACTTAGCATAAAGCTATAGAGACCAAGATAGTATGGTACTGACCAACAGATCAATGAAACAAGAAGAGAGCCAGAAAGAGACCCACACTTACACAGTCACTTGGTTTGCAACAAAGCCACCAAAGCAACGGGTAAAAAACAAAGTTGTGTTGTTGTTTTTCAAACTTGGTGCCAAAAAAACTGAATGTTCGTAATGGACAAAAGAAAATGAACCTTGATCCTTACTTCAAATCATACATGAATTGTTATTTCAGATGCATCACAGACCTAAAAGCTTTTGGAAGAAAACACTGAAAAATGTTTTGAGGTAGCAAAAGTTTCTCAGACGGGACACAGAAAGCAATAACTATAAAAGGAAAATATCAATATAATAGACATCATCGAAATTTAAAACTTCTGCTCATCAACAGACACCAATAAGAAAATAAAGAGGTAAACAATAACCCAGGACAAAACATATATTCACAAAAGACTAATACCCAGAATACATTTAAAAAATTCCCACAACCCAATAATAAAAAGGTAAACAACTCAATTAGAAAATGGTTAAATGATATGAACAGTTTCCAAAAGAAGGTACGTCAATGGCTAATAAGCCCACGAGAAAGTGCTCAATGTCATCAGAGAAATGCAAATCAAAACCACAAAGAGATTCTACCACACACATAAGAGAATGGCTAAAATGAAAAAGACTAACATCAAATGATGATAACGGTGCACAGGAACCAGAACTCTTATATATTGTTAATGGGAGTGCAAAATGGCATTGGCTACAAGTTTCTAAGAATACTAAAACATTCACCTACCTTATGGAGCCAGAAAGTCCTCTCCTAAGTATTTTTCCAAGAAAAATGGAAGCAAATGTCAACAACAAAAACTGTATAAGAATATTCATAGCAGCTTTACTCATAACAGCCCAAAATTGGAAATAGTAAAGGTATTTCAATAAGGAGAATAAACTGTGGTACATTCATACGATGAAATATTGGCAATAAAGGGAAACAGGCCACTCAAACTTGTTACAACGTGGATAAAAATCTCTAAACTTTAGGCTGAAAGAAGGCTTACACAAGAGTACAATTGTATGGCACCATTTATAAGAAGTTCTAGAAGAGGCAAAGTAACCTTTGGCAGAAAAAGTCAGAACATGCAGTTAGCTCCAGGAGGCTTGGACAGGGATTGTCCAGGATGGGGAAAGATTTTAGGATGATGGCAAGGTTTTTTTGTTTGTTTGTTTGTTTGTTTGTTTTATCTCAAGAGGAGTTTGCGTTATACACATATAAGTATTTGCCAAAACTCAGCTCATATACACTTAAAGTTTAATCGTAGGTGAATTTGACCTCAAAGGAAAAAATGTTGTTAATAATCAGAATTCTGGTTAATGATATACATACTGAAGTATTAGTTGAAAGTATACTGATGTCTGCAATTTTCTTTGAAATACATAAAATAAGAAGGACTGAGGAACAAATAGATGGACAGGTAAGTGGAAAAACAGGCATAATAAAATGTTAATGATAAAATCTAGGTGTGGGTATACAGGAATTCACTGTAAACTTTGTTTTTTCAATTTTATGCTTAAATTTTTCCATAACAAAATGCTGGGGGAAAAACAGGTACCACTGTTTTGATGTTGACAGAATATTATTTTTCACTTCTTTTTTTCCCCTATTTTCTAAGTTCTCTATCATGTGCTATATAATCTATAATTTCAAACATCTTTTAAAAAAGAAAACAATTTCCATTTACTAAAATAATCAAATATAAATTTTCTCAAAACAAGTTAAAAATCTCACTTCAGATTCAATGAACGTTAAAATACTCACTATCTTAAAACCTACTGTTACTTAACTCACTAAAAGCCTTAAACTATTTAGTGATGTAGCGAGACAGTTTCTGCACTAATTAAAAATTTTTAAACTAATTCAATGTGGTGCTAATTTTTTTTTCTTTTAATGCCTAGCATTAAATCTTTCCATGTACTCAAAAACCTCCGCCATATCACTCTGTGGAATGTATGCTCATTAAAAGTACATCATTTCTTAGACTTTGTAATAACCTAGCTGGGCAATACTTATTAGAAATCTGAGAGTTGGCTGTTTACTTCCAAAAGGGCTTTATCTTTAGATAAGCACAAGCTTTAAGCCAGGTGCTAGTCATTTGTGTCTTGTTAATTTCCAAAACAAACAGAGGAGAGTGCCATGCAATTTCCATTACACACACTTCACCATTAGTACCAGGGTTTATTAGCTTGACACTGCTCCAGGAATCATGGTTTCATTCCTCACTGAAATAAAATAATGTGTCACATAACTCAGCAATGCGGAACTTCTGAAAAATGTTGTCATGTTAAACATGGCCATATTTTTTAAGTCTCCATTATGCCAAAACAAAGGCCGTTTGCTGTAGAGAACTCACTCTGGGCACGGAGAATTCTCACATGGACCTCAGACTTACCTCATCGCTATGTCATACGATTCCGGGTGAATACAAGTTTGGTCCAAAGGATTTGGCTTCAGTACAACATCTACTGCAGTTTTGCTCTTCTTCTTGCCTTGCTTCTCATTTGTGACCTCAACACCTGCTGAAGATGTCACAGCAACTCCCTGAATTTGGCCCGCAGATTCGGTTTGCTGACTACTATCACCATTGAAAGAGGCGAGGAGTAGGAAGGAAGGGAAAATTGGGAAGAAAAGAAAAGTCTTTAAAATGTGCTTATTTTTCTGCCACACAAATACGCACAAACAGCACCCACATTCTGACCATTCCCTTCATAGAAATTATCACATATTTGCTTAAACATTGTTAACAGAGTTTCCTGTTACTTAAAGCCAAAAATATTCTTTACTGATTTAGCCTGTAAAAGTGGCATTCTAGGGGAGAACAGAGAAAAACGCAGAGAAATAAATAAAAAGGAAAGGGAGAAGGAGAAAGAGAAAACAATTTCCCAGAACTGAAGAAAAATACAAGTTCCCAAATTAAAAGAACCTACTGAGTACAAAATAGGATGAATGGGAAAAGACTCAGATTTGACATACTGTGGGGCAACTTTAGAATCGGACTTAAGAATCAAGAAAGAAAAATAAAACAGAATACTTCCTAAGGAACTAGAATTAGACTGGCATCAGATTACTCCCTGATAAACAGCAGATGCTAGAATGCAGTGAACTGGTATCTTAAAAGTTCTGAGAGAAAATGATTTTGAATCGAGAATCATATACTTCGCCAAACTAGCATTCAGATAGGAGGGCAAATTACAATTGTTTTCAGACATGTAAGGATTGAAGTAGAACCCATATAATATATGTACTCTCTCTGAAAAGAATTTAAGAATACATTCCAGCAAAAACAACAAATTCAAGAAGAGTGATCGTGTGGGCTACAAGAAACAGTGATGAGCACAGAACTATAAAATCTTGCTACGTTAAAAAACTGCTCATGAATAATGTAAAAAATATATGTATAGGGGCACCTGGGAGGCTTAGTCAGTTAAGCATCTGCTTCTTGATTTGGGCTCAGATCATGATCTCGTGGTTTGTGAGTCTGAGCCCCATGTTGGGCTCTGCGCTGACAGCATGGAGCCTGCTTGGGATTCTCTGTCTCCCTCTCTTACTGCCCATCTCCTGCTCACCCACTCTCTCTCCCTCCCTCAAAATAAATAAATATAAATATATTTATTTATA